CGCAAACTAAGAAGTTGCATAGACCTGTTTCATACAGATTTGTCTTACATGCATAGAATAATTATGAAGGAACATATTACTAATTGGTGGCACAGTTGTTTCTGAAAAGTCCAAATTAGGTTCTGTGGTAAAGTGAGAGGGATAATTACTTTTCACCATAAATTCATTTTGATACAATGTTTTGCTCTATTTTTTAATTCATAGTTATAAATGACAGTAATTTTATTTTGAGTACTCTTCAGCAGAGTGGATAAAGAAAATGTGGTATATATACACAATGGAATATTCTTCAGTCTATTCTATTTTTAATGATGTTTTAAGCAATGTATTGTAAATTCCCTCTTTTTTTTTTTTTAACACTGGTCATTAAACCCAGGGTCTTGTGCATGCAAAGCAAGCATTCTACCATTGTGATACATCCCCACTCTACAACTGACTCTCTTATGCGTACAATTCAATGAGTTGTGACAAATATATGTAATGATGTAACCACACAACAGTTAAGGTATAAGATTTTTATATTGCTGAGCATGATGATGTATAACTGTAGGCTCATCCACTCAGGAGGCTGAGGCAGGAGGATTGCTTGTGCCCACAATATTGAAATCAGCCTAAGCAGCATAGTGAAATATTGTGCCCATGTATATAATTTGTATATTATATGTCCATCACCACATAAAGTTCCTTCATTCTCCTATCACAACCAAGCATACTTCCTCACTTCTAGTCCCTGGTGACCACAGATCTACTTTCTGTACCTATGGTTTTGATTTATCATGAAAGTCATATGACAGAATATGACATAGAACAATACAGAACCAAATCTTTTATCTCTGGCAGTTTTACCTTCAAATATTCTTTCTCCAATAATCTTCTTATATAGAACCAAGTTTATTTTTTAGAATATTTATTGGTGTATAATAATTATTTATTTTTTTAAAAGAGAGAGAGAGAGAGAAAGAGAGAGAGAGAATTTTTTTAATATTTATTTTGTTTTTACTTTTTGGCGGACACAACATCTTTGTTTGTATGCATCTTTGTTTGTATGTGGTGCTGAGGATCGAACCTGGGCCGCATGCATGCCAGGCGAGCGTGCTACTGCTTGAGCCACATCCCCAGCCCTATAATAATTATAAGTAACAGAATGTTTCATTGTGGCTGATTCATAACAATTACAATTCATGCACATAACAATAACAACATTTTCATTCCCCAGTACCTTCCTGTGCCCTCCCC